GTGGACAGAAGCTGGATATGAGTCAGCAGTGTGCCCTTGTTGCCAAGAAGGCCAATGGCATTTTGGGATGTATAAGTAGGGGCATAGCGAGCAGATCGAGGGACGTGATCGTTCCCCTCTATTCGACATTAGTGAGGCCTCATCTGGAGTACTGTGTCCAGTTTGGCCCCCCTACAAGAAGGATGTGGATAAATTGGAGAGAGTCCAGCGAAGGGCAACAAAAATGATTAGGGGTCTGGAACACATGAGTTATGAGGAGAGGCTGAGGGAGCTGGGATTGTTTAGCCTGCAGAAGAGAAGAATGAGGGGGATTTGATAGCTGCTTTCAACTACCTGAAAGGGGGTTCCAAAGAGGATGGCTCTAGACTGTTCTCAATGGTATCAGATGACAGAACGAGGAGTAATGGTCTCAAGCTGCAGTGGGGGAGGTTTAGATTGGATATTAGGAAAAACTTTTTCACTAAGAGGGTGGTGAAACACTGGAATGCGTTACCTAGGGAGGTGGTAGAATCTCCTTCCTTAGAGGTTTTTAAGGTCAGGCTTGACAAAGCCCTGGCTGGGATGATTTAACTGGGAATTGGTCCTGCTTCGAGCAGGGGGTTGGACTAGATGACCTTCTGGGGTCCCTTCCAACCCTTATATTCTATGATTCTATGATTCTATGATTCCTCTCATGTAAGTGCTTCAGGATTGATTCTTTGAGGACCTGCTCCATGATTTTTCCGGGGACTGAGGTGAGGCTGACTGGCCTGTAGTTCCCAGGATCCTCCTTCTTCCCTTTTTTAAAGATTGGCACTACATTAGCTTTTTTCCAGTCATCCGGGACTTCACCCGTTCGCCACGAGTTTTCAAAGATAATGGCCAATGGCTCTGCAATCGCAGCCGCCAATTCCTTTAGCACTCTCGGATGCAACTCATCCGGCCCCATGGACTTGTGCACGTCCAGCTTTTCTAAATAGTCCCTAACCACCTCTTTCTCCACAGAGGGCTGGCCATCTATTCCCCATGTTGTGATGCCCAGCGCAGCATTAGTGACCACTAAACTATGGCTAATGTTTCATAATATAAATTGCCACCCTCCGAGAAATAAAAAGGGAAATCTCTTTAATTTGTGGTGAGTGATTCAGATATTAGTCTACATGATTATGCACAATAGTTTACAGGGGATAAATAATCCACCGCTCTGCTGCGGATTTGGAAAGATTCCATCTCAGAAGTAGGAATCAGAGCCTATTTGCAGGAGAACCCCATTGAAATGCCATGTCAGGCCAGATCCTCCACTGGTCAGCGTAGTTCCATTGAAGTCAACTTACACCAGCTAAGGATCTGGCCTTTTGTTTCTTTGTGGTCTCTTCCAAACAAGGATGAGCTGAATTTTGCTTTGAAAAATGAACTTGTATGGCACATGTGAACACAGGCAGATCAAATCAGAAGAACATGTTTGCACAAACCGCTGAGTTTCCCCACTGTCCTAGATGGAATTTCTTAGGTTTTCATCCAGTGGGGAGGACGGGGGGGAATGTAGCTGGCTGGTGTCTAGAGCAGGCAGATCTACTTGTTATGAATAATATAAGGGCCTGATCCCACAAAGACTTATGCACATGCTTAAATCTCCACGAGTAGTCCTATTTGAAGTCAATAGCACCATTCTCCAGGAGTAAAATTAAGCATGTGCATAACTCTTTGAAGGATCAGGGCCTACAATTGTAAGTACTTCAGAGGCAGAGGGTCCCTGCTGACTTTCAGCTCAAATATTGACTAGCATCCTCTCCCCTCATAGCAGAAGGTCTGGTGAATGTCTGGTAGATCTGCCTTCTAGCTATGTAGGGACCCCAGAAACTATAAGACTGGTCCCGCTGAATGCTAACATGAGGCTAACATCCTACCGTCTCTTCTCATAACAGGTTGTGGTAAAATGACAGGTTCTATTGTAAAGACAACTCAGACAAAACAGTTGGCTTTGTGTTGTTATAAATCAAACACAACTCACAGCAGGACTTAATTTCCACTGGCTCTTGAAAATTTACAGTATGCTTGGTTAAGGCAAGTAATTTTATTCTGTAACAAGCCCTGGGCTGTGGGGTAACAGCATCGCTGCCGGCAGAGGTTGTAAATATTTTTGGACAACAAAACTATCCATTAAAGAAATGCACCTACAGATGAACAATCTTAAGTTTGCTGACAGTTAAATATCCCTCCGTGATACTTGTTGTTATTGAGTTTGACTGCAACCATACCCCTTTTGATTCCCTGTCCATGTGTAGAATAGGAGATGGGTAATTGTTTGTGGGAACGTGTTACCACTTCATTAGCCAATTCCTCCCTGCTCTTAGATGCCCTTCACATGACAGTATCATGTCATCATTCTGCCATCATCCTGCCCATGACATGGAGACTCATACTAATTTCTCAGCCCAGACCTTTCATCTGGGTCTTAATTATTTTCTCCATTCAGAACAAGCTATTGTTAAAGTGACATCTTAATGCCAGTTATCTGATTGATCTATTACCTGTCTTCCTACCCAGGGACGAAGAATAGAAACCACAGAATCCTTTTGTCGTTGGAACTGGAGAAATACAGTTTTTAAAAAAATCTCAAGGCACCAAACAAAACTTATTGCAAAAAAGAAAAAGTTAACAAACTTCACGTTTGATTTTTGATGGGTTTACTTGAGTGGATAATTTTATCCCAGAACTAATGTAGGTCTTGATGTCCTTCTTACCATTGAAGGATTAAGGACAATTTCAATGTTGTTTGTGTGTACCAGTTCCTTTAAGTGATCATTAGAGAGAGACATTGTCTAATGATCTGAGCACAGGCCTACAAGTCTGTAAACACCACAGTTCTAATCCGTGCTCTAAATCCCACTGCGGTGCGGGTAAATTATTTCATTTCTTTGCCTCTGTTTCCACATATGAGGAATAGGGGTATTGAGAGGATGCTACTAAACAATGGTAAATCTCTGACAATACAGGTGATCCAAGTGCTAAGTGTCAGCAAAACAGCAGCTGTGTGAAATTATGCAGATGTGAAGGCCTGATTCTCTTCTTACTTAAACTGGTTTTACATCAAAGCAATCCTAATGATTTCACTGATGTTACTCCTTATTTACACTGGTGTAGGTGAGAGAAAGAGCAAGTCCTATAAGTGGGGCAACAACTGCCCTTCTGAAGTATGGCAGGCCTGTAGCTTACGTTAGGGCCCATGAAATTCTGCCCTGTCACCATTCATACTCTCTGATCCAAAGTCCTTTGGAAAGATTCCCCCTTGACTTCAATGGGCTCTCCACCGTCTGAGGGGTGAATGCACTCAGCTGGTTTAAAACCATTATTTGTACTGAAAGCGCAGTTTTGACTGCCAACATTTTGTTTAAAGCGTTAGCAGTGGCCATGGGTGGGATTCCAAAATGGCAGCCTCTTGGCAATCCCTGTCAGAGAGGCTAAAGACTGAATGGACAGGAGAGCAAATTACCTTCATCCTGATCCCTTCAGGCCCAGTAGCTCAGTTAATAGCTCAGTCTGTAGGAATCTTGTGCGGCTTCTCCCTATGCCTGACTTTTTGTGTAGCTAGATAAGAGTTCGGTCAACCCAGCCCCCTTCACCAGTGCTACAGTGAACAAAATCATCTTAATGACCTCAGAAATTTAGGAGGAGAATGTGGGAACAAGTCTATATGTAGTTTAAAATGGAATTGTTCATGTAATTTATTAACTAGATAAAAAATTATGGTGGACTATTGTTTGAAATAGGCATGTTCTTCTCTCTCTCTCACACGCACACACACACACACACACACATTGCAGCCACATGGATCTTTTAGGTTTCAGAGTAGCAGCCGTGTTAGTCTGTATTCGCAAAAAGAACAGGAGGACTTGTGGCACCTTAGAGACTAACAAATTTATTGGAGCATAAGCTTTCGTGAGCTACAGCTCACTTCATCGGATGCATCTTTTACTGTTTCTCACATTGTGAAGTCTGCTCTTTCCCCTTCCTGTGACATCTCCTATACACAAATGCTCTGTTAAAAAGTATATGTGAAACTGAGTTAAGTAACATGAACAAATAATACATGTATTGGAGAGCCTTTATGTTGTGATTGAAGCTAGTTTGCATGCTGATTTGTAGCTGTGCCCAGTGCTTCTGGCACCTGATCTTTCTTGCAAAGTAGGCTGTCCTGTCTCCAGAGTTCTCTACCAATTAAGTAATAAATAAAGATGAAATGAACATAGCCTTTCCTAAAACGATTTTGGAGGTAAAAAATAAGGGAATGGAGGACAGTTATTGATTGGAGCTATAAAAGTATCAGAGTTGCTTTTCTCCTTTATGTTGCCATAGGTTTTGGTCTGGGATGGGTGACAAATGAGTAGAAAATAATTTCAGATGAGGATTAACTTTTTGTTGTTGTTTTTTTAGTGGATGTTTCTAACTGTATCATCTGCAGCTCATCTGTTTGCAATAATGTTGCAGTTTGTTCCTAATGTGACTCTCTAATGAATGTTGCTTTTTAACTTTGGGTTTGCAGAAGTTTATTTTTAGAAGCCCAGAAAGGAATCCAGCCCTAAACCCCTCTCTTCTTAAATTCTCAGATTGCAAGGTCTGCTGGGCCAAGAACAGGAGTTTGATGCATTAAACCTGACACTCTTACATAATCAGCTTCAGATGGCACCTTGATAGCAGCCGCAGATAAGCTGGAAAGCCCGCTGCTGCTTTCCTTACAGTATCTGCTCCCCGGTACAGCTTGCCCACTGTCTGAGTGCAGCATTAAGAAAACAAATAACCAGCTTCACCAAAAGCTTTGGATAAGATACCACATTCCTTTTCCAGCTCACCTTTGCTACAGAGATTTAGTCTTAAACAAGTGGTGACTGGCAAAGGGGCTGTGTATATATCAGGCAATGCGTTTTAATATATACCATCAGACCCTGGAAAAAATTTCTTATTGCAGAAGAGCTTAGTCAATAATAATAATATAAACAGTATCTACTTCTCTTCATTCACAGATATCAATGTGATTTACAAAGGAAGATAGATATTATCCCCAGCTCACAAGGGAGGAAACTGAAGCACAGACAGGTAAAATGACTCATCTAAAGTCACACAACTGGTCAGTGGCAGAGCTGAGAATATAAACTAGTTCTCCTGCCTTCCAGTCCATTTCTCATTGGCTCACACTGCTTCCCATCCCTATACATGGACGTGTATGTATATGTAACTGCAGTGTTTTTCATGATTGTTAAACAACAACAACAAAACACCTCAAACCCTGCAATATGATACACTCATTGCCCCCAAACACTGCGATTTCATTGATTTCGTGGTAGGGTTTAGGAGTATTAGTGCAGAATACCATAGTACTTGGTTTTATATGAGGGATGAGCCCTGGACAGGCAAAAACTCACTGTGTTTTAATATTATTAAACTCCAAGCATCCCAAGATGCTACAAATAATAAAGAGTAAGCATAAAAGGGACTGTGAAAACCTTGTGCTGGGTTGATTTATCCAATGGAAATCAGCAGAGGAACGAAAGCCCAAGTAATTTCTCAGTAGCATTCGGTTGTTGCAGGGAGTCTGTTTGCTGCATGGCAAGAAGCCTTGTGGTACTTGGGTGAAGGCTGAGAAAAACCCAGCCTCAGCCTTTCTAGCCTCTGATGTTAATCTTTGTGATGGGGAGGACAATATTGACAGCAGGATGGTGCACTCTGGCTTGAATGACAGGCCATATGTTTGCAAAATAGACTGAAGTACCAAATATAAAAGGCATAGGCAAGTGTGGAGTGAGGGAGAGATGTTTTTTGTTGTTGTTGTTTTACATGTAAAACTTCCCCCATTTGGCAGCAGCCCAGTAACAATTAATCGGCAGGGGACTTTTAGAAAGCATCTTCCTAGGAAGGCAGAATACAGAAAAATCCTTCAAATTAAGCATCATTTAAAACAAAGCCCTGCATCAATATAAAATGGTGAAGGGACTTACAGTGAATGTGGATTACTCGGTGTAAGTAAATTGGACCTGATTCTGATCTTGCACCAAGTGTACATGGGTATATATCACTTAATTTCAATGGGATTATTCCAGATTTTTACACTGATGTAAACAAGAGGAGAGCACTCCAATGGGATCTGCTGTTTCAACACTAGGTGGCCACCTGGGGCTCTCTCGAGTCAGGGACTGTCATCTTTGGTCCTTGGTGACATCCAAGAGTCCAGGGTTTTTAATCCAATCTACGCTTAATAGTTTGTTTTAAAATGTACACTGCTTAATATTGTATATGAAACACTTAAATGTCCTAATTCATACTAAAGTCAAGGACACGTGAGAATTCTATATGCAATGCAAACCAGTGGATTTTAATAAAAACAATCCTTTGCTGGTTTGAACAAAAACCTGGATGGCTGGGGATCTCTGAGGACCTGAATTTGTCCAGTGTGGTTTACATTTTCAACTGTAATTTGCAAAACCCGCAAACTTTTGATCAAGTCCTGCTCATTTGCTGGGCCCACTCATATTTTTCTGACCGTCAAGTATTCACACCCACAACCTCCACAACCTCACGTCGCCTCCTCTTGCGTGTGCGTAGAACGCGGGCCTGTAGTCTCCATGGTTACCACAGTACCCAAGCTTGGAAAGCGGCTTGCCGAGCTCTAAGCCCCGTGCCTGAGGCCCCGGATGTATTGTTGTCTTTTTTCAGCGCCTGAATAAAAATATTTTAAATCTCTATGTATTTTACTCAAAATGAGGAAGATAAGCTTAGGAGTGTGTGTGAGAGTGAGATAACATGAGTTAGTTAATGAGTGAGTGTCTTACCCAATAAGTGAGCCTGGACATGTCTGTGCTTGTGCAGTCATTTATAGCTGCTGCTGTTTAACATTTATGTTGTGATCGTGCCTCACCCAGTTCTGGTCTCCACTGTGCTAGGTGCTGTACAAACACATGGAAAATGACAGCCCCTGTCCCGAAGACCTTACAGTCTGTGCAAATAGGTAAGACTCAGGCCCTCACTTTCACTAGTGTATATCAAGAGTGTAGACTCTGTAGGTGTCAGTGGAGAAACACTGGTGTGAAACCCCCATAAGAGGAAAATCTGGGACAAGTGAGTGTAAAATTGCTACAAAGCTGTTTCAGTAACATTTTACAGCCACTTTGCCCAGGTGTAAATAGCTACACAGGGCAATTGGGCTCAGAGCTTAGATAAACTCCTCTAAATTTAAATGAAGACCAGTGCTTTTAACTATGCAGCAGTGAGCCAGACAAATGCTGAAGTGAGGATGGGGGAGAGAAAGGGAGATCAGATTTCTAAGCACCCTTGAAACCAAAGCCGCACTGTTTATAAACTTCCATAAATATTAATTGATATTTAATAAGGTAGGCAAACACAAGGGAAAGTATTGTTTTGGCCAACTCCTACACAGCAATCCCAGCCAAGCGTGAAAGAGTTTGTGTAACTTTCCTCAGGGGTTAAGAGCAGGTCACGGAAGGTCCTTTTTCCTGGCCAGTGTCCCAGCTTTTTAAGCTACAAGGGAACACAGTAGGCTCATGGGAATTTAACCCAAATACCTGCTGTCTATAGAGTGAAACTCTTTGACTGCACATAGCTTTTGGACTTTAAAGTGTATAGACTAAATAAGAAGGGATCGGGGAAGGGGAAATACCTTCCCTCCTTTTCTTCCCCACCCTCACCAGAAACGAGGGGGCGATGGTAATGTTGCTGATGAAATGAATGATGTTGATTTTCCAATAGGATTATGCTTGAAAGGGGGTTAATGTTTTGTCAGTTGTGAAGTATGATGAGATAATAGCAGAAGTTAATTGATATGCCTTCCCACATAACTTGACAGCTCAGACAGGTGGTGAGTCGCCCTTCTGCTCGCACACATTGGACTGTTTTCTGCCATGGCTGGGTTCTAACTTACACAGACAAGCTGACTGAGAAATAGGTCAATGCTTAAAAAGAAAAATCCCCTCAACCCAGCACTGCAAATTAGAAACTAACTGTCCCTCATGTCTTCCTGCATAATCTATGTTGTAAAGTGGCGGAGGCTGAGCAGGGGAAAAAAATGCTTGAAAGATTGCCAGAATTATCCAAGTGAAACTCACCTGGTTTTGGAGTGAGTCACCAACTCCAAATCAGAGACCAAGAGCACTGAAGAGTTTCTTGTCTTTTCGCTAACCTGAATGTACATTGGCCGCTTCAGGGATTCACACTGAGATTCAGAGGGGGAAAAAATCTTTCAGTTAGAGTTAGGCCCGAGTTACAAAATCAGGATCTGAGTTTTGAACCCTCAATAGACTCGGTGTGCTCAGAACCAGGGTTGGATTTTGTCAATTTATGGAGGTAAAGGCTAGCAGTAAAATAAGGAAATGGTTTTGCATTCCCAAAAAATCTGGGGCTTCGCTTACTTTTGATGCAAAGCCCAGTGAAGCTCAGCAGTTCAGTCCAAAATATTCTTGGACATTTGTGGGGTGGGACTTTTCAAAAACACTCAGTTGTGGCCTTCACTCTTCTCCCATGGGATTCTGACTATTGGTGTAAATGGGACAACGCTAAATACTTTTGAAAACCCTTCCCTTCCATTCATCAGATGTATAGCTTGGAGAGACTTGGGCCATGTCTACATTACGGGGAGTATCTGGCATAGCTATGGTGCTGTAGCAATGCCAGCATACCCTGGTAGCATAGACATGGCCTACAGCAATGGAAGGGTTTTTTTCATCACTGTAGGAACAACACAACCCTGAGCAGCAGTAACAAGGTCAGTGGAAGCATTCTGTCATCAACCTAGCAATTTCTATGCCAGGGGTTAGGTCAACACAGCTACAGCACTCAGGGGTTGGATTTTTCACACCCCTATGCACTGTAGCTATGTCAGCCTAAGTTTTAAGTGTAGACCAGGCCACAGGATGTGGGTGGGCAGGACGGTGTGGATCAGAATCAAAGAAAATGTTCACACACTCCTGGGGACCAAAACCACAGGGTTTCATTCAGTTCTGAGAGTGTTATTATTTACATAGAGAAATATGGAGAGAGAGAGAGAGAGAGAGAGAGAGAGAGAGAGAGGAAATTTGGAAAAACTCTTAACAACCCAATTCAACAAAACACCCAAATGATGACCCAATTCAAGAAAGCACTTAGTTTCCTGAATCAGCGTCCATAGCGCCTTCTCCTTAACATCCGTCTGTTCCTTACACAGAATGGCCAGGCAATAATGTATCTTGGGGATGTTTTGTTTATTCTTCTTTGTTTTTGAGGGTATAATATATTGTATTGGTTAGCCAGTCTGATGAAATGCCATACTGGAGTCTTTCCTCGATAATACCACCACCAAGGCATTTATTGTTGCAATGTGTCAAATGATTGGATCATTAGCAAATGAAAGATTAGATACATTTGAAGAACCATATTTGCTCCTGCATGTGGAAGCAAAAACTGAAGGTTGTTTTCTTAATACCGAGGCTCCTAGTAATTTAGCCAATCATACTTCTAAACAATTGTGTTTTCCACCCAAAACAGATCAAAATTGCTCTCAATTGCACCTAATTTGGGAAGCTTTTGGAATTCTAAAAGAAAATTGTGGCTGTAGAACTAAACATTGCTGCTGGTATTCATATCTCAGACAAAGACAGCTTTACAATTGTTGCCTGTCTGTATCAAGTTCACCAGTTTTAATTACAACACCCCACAGTGGAAATTTCACAAAACATTTTATCCGTGCGTAAAATTTAATTAAACAAACAGAACCCTAAAGAAAGCATTACATTTGTCACAGCAAAATCTGCAGTGGAGTAGGATATTTCCTGCTCTTACAAATGGGTTATGTCTCAGGATTGACAGGGGTTACCTTTGATGCAATGCAGATGGAAAATCAAATGTAAGAATTAATCCCTCTCTAGCCAGATTATGTGGAATCTTAAACAGGTGGCAAGGGATGTCAAGCCCCTTACATTTTTCATTATATTGTGGTACTGGTGTCGTCGGATGCTGGCCAACCTTCTAGCAGAATGTGTTATGTGATATAATTGTAAGATGGAAAACAGTGAAGGAATTTCTTCCATTAGGTTTCAGAGGCCATGATGGCATCTTTAGTTGATAAAGGAACTGGATTATGTCTAATCCCTACTTTTGGAGACATTTTTATTTCTTAGAAAACACTTTCTTAAAAAGAAAAGAGTACTTGTGGCACCTTAGAGACTAACAAATTTGTTTGAGCATAAGCTTTCATGAGCTACAGCTCACTTCATCGGATGCATGCTGTAGTTCATGAATGCTTATGCTCAAATAAATTTGTTAGTCTCTAAAGGTGCCACAAGTACTCCTTTTCTTTTTGCGAATACAGACTAACACGGCTGCTACTCTGAAAACTTTCTTAAAAGCATTTCCACCACTGCAAGTGGAATGTAAAATATAACTTGCAATGAGGCTCAGGTCAAGGTTTTCAGAAATGAGTAGAAATTCTGGGTGACTCTATTTTGGGGGTTCCGGTCAGCAATATTTTAAAGGGGCCTATTTCTCAGAGCACAAGCCCTCTGACAACCAGGGTCTTTTTTTAATGTGTGTCAAATTGGAGATCCAAAACTGGAGGCACCCACTGTCAATAATCAGTTGTTTAAATGAATGTGAATTTTAATTTATTGTATTGTCTAGAAGTACAGATTTTTTTGGTAATGAATAATACACTTATGAACCCTGAAAACTCGGAGAAACAAGCTGTCAGACAGTCCAAGGATTACAAATGAAGAGGTGAGTATCATGTATAGAACACACACAATACATTGTCTGGGAAACTTCCTTTGGAACAGCATGTGGGACACACTTCAAGGATCAAAAAAGCTCAAAGGACAGAGAAATAAATGGAGAGAGCATAGAAACTAGATTGTTTGCACCAATTAACGATGGGGCCCTTAATCCAGGGTCAAAACACTCGTAGACTTCAGGGAAATTATGGTTCTGATCTGAATTTTGTGCACCAAACTCAGTTTACAGAGCCAAACCAAGACCTGGACCCAAACTCTCCTGAGCTTCAGGCACGTCAAGATCTGAGTTTTGCAGCCCAGGTGTACCCTAGACTCCGTACTTTTCCTATATTCTATCTATTTTGCAGAAATACCTCCAAATATTTGGGAAGGTTGAGCTCCACAGCACATGATCTTTGCTATATTTCCCTGCCCTCTGGGGTCAGCAAGTGTCTAAGGACAACCCCTATCTCAGTCCACTGTGCTCTGATCTTTGAAGCCAGAAGGATCTACTTGCTTGGACAGATGCATTAAACGTTTGTAACAAAACCTTTGACCTGGTGGTGGCATTTGTCACAAACCTGAAACCTGGGCAAGGTTCACCAACCTTCAAGCAAGCCTAGGATTGAGGTGGGAACCATGGGAAACTTTCTGGTTTCATCCAGGTTTTGCTTGGTTGTTTTGGGTTTATTCCAAAATGAGAGTCAAGGGGGACACAGCCTAGAAAAACAGTGAAGCCAGAACAAAAGATCTGTTTGAACCCCAACAGGCAAAAGTGTTTCTGGTTGGACTGGTCCTTCCACACAACAAACTAATATTTCCAGCATGAAGGACTGAATGTAAACAAATCATTCAGGAGAGAAACTGTGGATGACACACCATGTTAGAGAAAAAGTGAAGGAGAAATATGCCATTTTTTCTTGATGTATTGTTAGTGTAGGCGAAAAAAATGATGTTATGGCCTCCGTGAGACCAGACACCTTCAAGATTTCCCCATGTTCTGTGAGTGATGCACACCAATCGGATCAGGACATACACAGGAAGGCAGCATGCGCTAATGGTTAGTGCATGGAGGACAGTGTATTGAAAACTGGATTCTATTCCTGGCTCTCTCTGATCCTGGTCAAGTCACCTTGGACTTGATCCTGAAAAGTGCTGGTGACTCTGGGCCCAATCCAGCCACGCACTTAAGCACATGCTTAACTTCAAATGCTGGCATAGTTCCATTGATTTCAAAGAATGTGTTCATCTCTTTG